CCCCAAAACCCCAAAACCCCAAAACCCCACACTTGATAATTACAGCTGTTATTATGAAAATAATTATTAAATATTTAATAGTTTCGTATTTATAATCATTGCATAAATAAAATGGCCATGATTTTTACAATAGATTCTATTTAGGGCAATAGCCACATTGGAGTGCCAGTCTTTTCGCGATCTGCCAAAAAGGCTAACTATGATTACATAGTGTTTTCTCCTCCTAAAGGAGCAAGACTCCTATTCAATTAGCCGTAAATAGAAATAGACTCTAGTTAGTAGATGATCGAAAATAATTTAAATCAAGTAAGCTTAAAGATCACAATACGCATTATTTTAAAATTACTATATAGATATAAATATTGAACAGGATAAAAGATTTAGAAAACTAATAAATAAAGCTAATTTAGCAATAGAAACTGAACTAAAACAGACTGCTATTATCTGAACTGTCTCCAACATCCTAAAATGGCAAAACAGAAAATAATTAGATAAAAATAAAAGAGAAAAAAAAACTTGAAACATTTAGAGAGCAAAGTAACAATGATACCTTAGGGAAAGGCTTTGGGGGTAAACTTGCACGATTGAAAATTTTGAATAAGAAAAGAAGAAATCTCAGTAATCAAGGACCATCATTTGGCAAGATGGTGTCTCGAGAGAAATACTAAGATGTCCATGAGCTTAAAACATTAAAGCCTAAAAACGGCAATTATCATCCTAAATTCGACCTCATTGAAAAGTATTTAAATTTACTTGATTTAGACTTTTAATTATAGAAGAGTAGCTGCACCTCAATATGGAGAGGACTTTAAAAAAAGAGGATCAGAGGCTAAGAAGGCATTACAGATAAGAACAGATAATTTTAATAAGCAAGAAATTTGCAGAAGAATTATGAAAGCATTAGAATCTGGGCGAACAAATAATAACTTGCTAAATACTACTCATGAAAGATCTAAATATGAAACAATAAGCACTAAACCCTATGAAAATTTATCTTAAGGGGATTCTCCCAAGAAGACTTTGTAGGCTCATCAGTTTTCACAGCTGGTGAAGGAATTAGAGTCCTCATAAATGTCCCAAAACTTCAAATCATTAAATAATAGTACTCATCGAAAAAATAATTCAGTTCACACTTTGGAATCAAATAGATTGATGACTTAAAGATCAAAGAATAAAAGCTTGCAATTTCAATTCTACAATCAACCACTTACCGAAGTATTTTCTCTTGTCAAAGAATATCCAGATACTTAAGTAATCAAGAATGAATAGAATAACTTCAAACTAGTTGAACCAAGAGTGACCACACGAGACATATTTAGAACAATGCCTCGAAGGTCTTTTGTTTCTCCCAATGATCCCCCAAATGAAAATAGATTTGATCCACCAATTGAGATTCTCAAACAGTACTAAACTCTTAATTAGTCAGTCTTAAGTACTTAAAGAAGAACGAAGGACTTTGACATTGGCAAGGTTAGATCCAGAGATCAGTCACTCATATTAAAAGGTGGAAATCAGAATAAAGACATTGCAGCTAAAAATGAAGTCTTCTTCGATATTACTTAAAAAGATAGACTACTTACAAAAATCGATACTAAGATTATAAAATTTGATAAACTTACTCATAGAACCTATCAAGGAAGTATCTATAACAAGGAAAAACTGCCAGATTACTATGACTCTAACTCTATCGAGAATGGATATAGGAGGACTTCAAATTACACAACTCCTAAAGCCATGTTTGATATGAGCAAATAGCCTAAAAGAGATCTTACTAAAATATATAAATAAATGGGTGGAATGTTTGAAAACATTAAGAGGGAAAATGAAAGATAGGATTACCTGAAAAGACTGATTGAGGGTGAAAAATCAGCAGAGATTGATATATCTAGTTGAGTCGAATTATCCATAGGCTAAAATAGATTATACAAAAATCTGATCGCTCTGTAAGTTCTCTATTTATGAACCGATGATTGCTTAGTTTATTTTAATGATTTAAATTTAATAATTAAATTAAGAAGGTTGAAAATATGAATCCCACGATAGAGTAGCAAAATTACAAAAATTACTCCTCTTTGACTTCGAATAACCCTATAAATGTCAATCTATAGTCTAGATTCGAAGAGTAGATTACCCCAGTTAAACTCAATAGCCAAGATATTTAAAGCAACCAGGCCAAACTGAATAATTAAATAAGAGGAGGCCCATAAGACCGAAAGCTAAAATAATAAGCAAATTAAATGAATATTAGAAATTAAGAACCGAAGAGTGGACACACTGGTAACCTAGGAGTAAGGAACATTTAGAAGTTTGAGGTTGATAATGAATAAATAGACTAAATAATAAATGAGGATATGATAACCCCTGCTGACAGTAAAGACAGATAAACTGATTCCTCAACTAATAATGTTCAAAATGATAATATACACAGAAGAATGCATTCTGATTACTCAAACACACCAATAAATGCCTACGATGCAAATGAGTAAAGAGATTAAGCATTAACTAAGAAAGTGATTGATTTGCTAGAATCTGGACTGAACTACCTCAATCAAGACAAAGTAGAAGACTCTTTAAGAGAATTCAAAATAGCAGAACAGCTTTTCATTCAATCGCGTTAGTAAAATGGAGACGCTGATACAATATAGTAATTGGATGATAATTACTTATCAGTGCTTAAGTACAATCTTTCTTGTTGTTTTTAAAGAATGGGCCTAATAGACTAATGCATAGCCTGTCTATAAGAAGCCATAGACGCATTGGATTAATAGATTAAAACAATTAAGGAGAAAAATAATATATCTTTAACTGAAAAATCGATCTCTTAACAATAATTATCTATAAATTCAAATATGATGCCAACATCAATAGATAATAACCAGGACATAGAGGCGATATTAGGAAATCTCTTACATAAATATAGATATCAATGCAAATTTCATCTATAGGTGTGTGCTGTCCTCTCATAAATGAACAAGCACGATTAGGCCTATGTTTATGGAGATAAAGCAGCAAAATATGCCATATTGCTAATGCATAAAGCATTTGAGTTGTGCCAACTTTTTGTTTAAGAGATAAACAAAAAGAGAGAATAAATGCAACAGAAAGTAAGAAGAAGTAGTGCTGTTTCTGGGGCTTAATCCCTAGATGAGGGAGACGACTATTAGCCCTTGGCATAATCTTAAAATCAAAATCATTTGCAATTTAGTCCATATGGAATGAAACATAATTCAGTGACTTAGAATAACACTAATATGTCCTAAACATCACTTCAGTAAAGATCTATTCATTCTCAAGCGGCTTAAATCCCTTAATAAGTACAAGTAAATAACTATTTTGCCTCATCAACTAGAAATAACTCAGTATGCAATAGAAGCCAAGATTCTTAGAGCAACACAAGAGTAAATATCCGAAGAGCTAGCAGCGCAGATGGATCTCTTGAAAGAATCCATACTTTTAACTTAAAGCTCTAAAAACTTCAAAACCAGAAATCAGGTATTACATTAAATCCACAGATCACAAATGTGAACGCTTAAAATTCAGAAAAAAATGTGAGCAATATTAATGTAAGCAAAATAAATCTAAACTAAAACGAAAGCAACAGTAGGAATATTACCTAGCTAAATGGCAATTAATAGTTCCACACTACAACTTCCGCTAACTCCTAAAGCGGTAATTAACATAAAGTATACTATGTGGAAGAGAAGACAAAGGTACTTGAGAATATTATTATCAAAGTCTAGCCTACTATAAATGAATTTCAAAGAATCATTAAGGAGTTCGAGATAGTATAAGACACTAAAGAGCATGAAAGACAATCAATGTTTGGAACAAAGAGAGATAAACAGAAGCATGCATTGAAGATTTCTTTCCATGACGACACAGAGATTAATCTGATCAAATTCAATCATAAATTCAAGTTGAATGTCAGAAATATTCTTGGAATTAAGCACTAAGATGACTGGATTTTTAATCTAAACATAGGAAATGTAATGCATCTAACACCAATGAACACTGACGAGTTAGCAGCAAAGCTTGATAGAACTCATGAGCTCAATAAAGATGCCATGCTCGAGAAGATAATACTATTTGTGGTATCATTCTTTTGTGTTGGGACTGAATTGAGATTTCTTAGTCAAAAAGAAGGAAGTGGAGTTTCAAAGAAAGATTCAGAAATGTGGCATGCTAAAGCACTACATACATCCTGTTTGTTTTTACCAGAGGAATGTCCTTTGGTAAATCATATCATTAACTCTTACAAGAAACATCACTTAAACCCAAAGGCAGAGTAGTTGAAATAAAAAAAGTAAGATGAAGAGTAAAGAAGAAAAAGAGACACAGAGGAATAAAACTCAAAGGAACAGTCCTTAGGCTTAGGCGGGTTTTCAACTATCTAGGGAACAAGCAAACAGTCCTAGGAAGGAAATAATTCCTAAAGTATTGGAGATGATCATGAAGCTATGAAAGAAATTAAATAATAGATTGAGAATTTCCTTTAAAAATCAAAGAAATCTTCAGGTTAAAATACCAAGGCTAACATTTCAAAAATCACTTCAAATAGTGGTTAGCAGAGTGCTAGACCATTTAGTCATAATAATATGGCATAAATCAATAAAAATCTACATATTGAACCCAAAGATGATGAGATAAATGAAAGAAGGAAAAGCAATCTCATTAATGGGCCCACAAATAATAGCAGAAATTAACAAATCAAGCATAATAACACTACTTTGTAGAATAATCACTAGCAAGCAGCAAATCATTAACTCCTAATATCTACTAATAGTGTTAAAAATTTAGGACCTTAAAACTAGAAGAATATAGTTAATCTATAATCAATGAATCCTCAATTATTTCAAACTATGTAGACAAGCACTGCTCATCCTAGAAAGAATTAATCGCCTTAAAATGTTTTTAATGATTCGATAGGAAGCTCAGTTGAGTCTAAGCCTATAGCTAGATAAACTTAAAAAAGACTATCTACTAATTTTCATTCTTCAAATCAAGAGCATCTTCAAAAAACAGCTAAGGGTGATTAGAAATTAATAATGAATACAGATTAGCTCTAAACAGAGAAGCAATTTAGAAGAATGACAGGATACTCACCTGACAATATCACTCAAAAATAATTCTAGTTTTAATTCTAGGTTTAACATCCAAATCTGATGACTAATTAATAGCAGTAGACATCATAAATGGGGTCTTAAAACTCATCTATAATTTCTGGAGTTAAATCAAGGCCTCTTTCCCCAAGAAATGCAATTCTAATGGGATTAAATAATCAAATGAATCGATAAAACAGTGGGAATAGAGCCTAAAACAAATCACCCACTAATTATATAGCAGCAACTCAATAGTAAAATCAAAATCTACAAAAGATAAGTTCCTAGATAATCGAATAAATTCTCAAGAAGACGTCTCCTCTTGAGTAAGCAATAAAGCCAAATTAAAGTACATATGGTCCTAGCAATAATGGATATGCAATTAATCAACCATAAGGAATACTTATTCCTGGGCCAAAGAAAATTTTAGTCTTTCCTAATAAAAAGAAGTTCCCCTTAGCTTCTATGGGTGGTCAGACTGCCGTAGTATTAAATAATGATTAGAGGTCCCCGAAAGGTTATTCTATGGATAAAAAACTTAAAATGTCTGGCTTTCATGGGATGACTTTAAATACTAGTAAATCCTAAAGAAGTCTTGGCTCATCCAAGAATAGAGGAAACACTCCAGTCAATAATAATAAAAAGTCCTAGCTCTTAGTAGGAGCTAACCAGATATAAATGCATTATCAAACCAACCAATCAAGAAATCTAGAGCAAGATGGAGAAGATAATATAGGTGGTTTGACAAAGTATAAGAGCCTAGAAAATTTTCCAATAGATGAAATATTGTCTGAATTGACAAAGTAACAATAAAAATTGAAGATCAAAACTTCTCATAGTAATCTAGGTAGCAATGAAAGACCATCTGTAGTACATGGTTCATCTATTCTGAAGTAAAATAATAATAATAAAGTAAAGAGCGCAGTAATGAATGGTATCTAGCAGAGTTAGAATATGACTTACTCTCAGAGAATGGGATCACCTGTAAATCATGCTCTTCAATATAGCTTACTCAATAATCAGCAATAGTAGCAATAAAGCATGATGCTACATTAATAGCATTAAAATCACCAGTAATAGCAGCAACAGGTCCTTAATTATAATTTCTAAAACATAAACTTCATTAATAATGTCAATATCTTTGAAGATAAAAAGAAGGGTGAATTGAATTCTACAGGAGGAAGTCTGAATAAAATGGCAGGCACTAGTGAATTTATCAATGGGAACTAAATCTTAACTTCTCAACCCAGTTCTACTAAAAATTCTCAGGCTATGAAACTATCTGGTCCCAGAAAATCTTAAGGCTCTCAAATATCAAAGGTATGAATTAGTATTTTTTAAACTTTTATATAGTATTTGAAATGAGTTGTTGACTTATAAAGCTTGATTTTGTGTCATATAAATTAATCTAATTTTCATTGTATAAAATTTTACTTGTTTTAAATTATCTCACAATGGGGTTTTGGGGTTTTGGGGTTTTGGGGTTTTGGGGTTTTGGGGTTT